TGTTATGAAGATTAACCTTGAAGGAATTTAATGAGAGATCAACTTGATTAACCACTTCCAGCCCTTAGGCCCTATATATACAGCCTCCGTTGGAAACTGTTTTACGTTTTTATAGATCCAAGAGAGTTGTAGGAGAGCATCAAATAAACATCACCAAATAATTACATCTTGGAGGCTTCATCTCAAAGTAAGTAGCAAAAAAGCTGAGTAAACGGCCCTTTACTTATGCCAACAGGACTGAACATATAAGGAAAAAATAAGATACATTTAAAAATCCAACAATTTTTATTACAAAAACTCGTTCATGAAATTGCCAATAGGCGTATACAAACGGAGCATTGAATCATAATTCAACTGGTGTAACAGAAGACAGTGTATGGTGAGGTGAATGGTCTACGTGTTTCACGGAACATCCCACTTCATCAGGACCTTCCCACATGTAACAAAATATATTTGAAATATATTTTAAAAATATTGTTCCCAAATATATAGACATATATTTGAAATGCTACAATTTTGGCCGTATTCAATGTATTTAAAAATATATTTCAATAAATATATATATATATATATATATACTGCATGTTGAAATGCATTTTTATTACAAAACATATGAAATATATTTAAAATATATTGTTCCCAAATATATTGACATATATTTGAAATGCTACAATTTTGGCCATATTCAATATGTTTAAAAATATGTATCAAACAACCATGCAGCGCTAATAAATTCAATGATGCATGCAAATAATCATACGGTGCATTTAATAAATGGTAAAGTGAACACCACTTAATACTGAAATAGATCTTAGAAATTGTCTTAAAAGTCCAGGAATAATAATGATGGTGAATAAAAATCTTCAACAAGAGTGTTCTTGTGGTGCATAATATAAAAAATTTCAAGGCAAAAAAGGTGACACAATAAGTGACTTCTGTGACCATATTCATCCCACAGAGATGAGTGTAGATTGCACTAACCAGAAAGCGAAATGGTAATGCGCATTTGAGTGTTAACCAACTCCTGGTCATCCGGCTAATGATACTGGAACTGGATCACAGAGAGTGGTCATCTGGCCTGCATCAGCTGGGCAAACATCACAACCTCAGGGTCTCCAGATAGCAGAGGACGTGTAGTCGTTTCACCCGGGGTGGGGGGAGTCTAACCAATCCTGATGTGGCCACCAGATCATCCCAATAAGCCTTGAAGGAGGGGGGGGGCTCGAAAGTAACGAGCCAAGACAACAGAAGAATATGTATAGTGAGCAGCTGGTAGCAGGGAATTCCAAAATGGCCGCCGTCCATCCACAGGGGCCATGCGGTGTGACGTCATATATATATATATATATATATTGCATGTTGGAATGCGTTTTTATTACACAATATATGAAAAATATTTTAAAAAATACATTTCAAATATACTGTATGTCTCTAAAAATACAAATCTACATTTTTGGAATGCATTTACAAATATATGTAAAAATATATGTTAAAATGACTTTTTTATATGTTAAAAAAATCTGAAGAATATATTTTAAAAAAAACATATTTTTAAAAAAGGACTTGTCAAAGGTCTTCTGTAATTTTTTACCCTACACTTTTTTTTTCTTGTGAATGAGTAGCAGTACCATGTATCCCATACTCATTCACATGGGGGGGGGGGGGCAGGATCTGCGGGCCCCCTTGTTAAAGGGTGCTTCAAGATTCTGATAAGCCCCTCCCATACCTGTAGACCCCCTCAACCACCAACCACAGTTGTGGGCAGGGGCAGACTGACCATTTGGAAACTCGGGCACTGCCTGAGGGCCCGGGGTCAGTAGGGGGCCCCATGAGATGCCCCTGGTACCTTTTTCATAGGGTTTTTTGAGTTTGGGCAAGGACACAGGGGCCCCATAATCCCCTATTGCCCGGGGGCCCCATGAGTTGTCAGTCCGCCCCTGGTTGTGGGGAAGAGGACTTTCACAGCTGAAACATTAAAGAATGTTTTCATTACTAAAGTCCTGCATGACTTAATAATAAAACTGATGAAGTATTTTACTAGCTGTGTATCTTGCCACATACTCGGATGCCGTAAGGTACCGCTTAGTGAATTGTCCCGGTTCGAAGTTCGTGGTCAAACTTTCGTTAGATTCGAATGTCAGACCGCAAACTGGACAGGGGGGGTGTTCAGCCCATCACTACTCACAAATACATAGGAATGCATCCCAAGCATGTCTTTACCTTAGCTGACCTAATTCAACAGGAATGTCATTACGAACTGACCAACTGACTATTCGGGAATGTTTGCTATCTTTCTTAAAAGGTATTACTTACTTTCCAAGGGTTACGATTGGTCCTTCCTATCAATTTTTCCTGTATATATACAATGATGGATATGGTAAAATGCCTATTTGGTTCCCCATTGAATATATACATTTTCTATACATTTTATACATATCTATTTTTATACTTTAATACTTTTTTATATTTCTAAATGTTTTGTATGAATATCTATCTATCTATCTATCTATCTATCTATCTATCTATCTATCTATCTATCTATCTATCTTTTTCTGCCTGCTGGGCTTTGTGGTACTTTAAGAAATCCTTGCTCGGGAGGTGTCTGCTCACATGCACCAACCCCCTCCCATCGTGCCGACTTGAGACAAAGATATATTTTTCTTTCTATAGATAAGACTTAGAAGAAGATCACGCCTATACTCTGACGAAGTTTGTTTTCGTGTGGAAATGACCAATCAAAGACTAATATAATGCTTATGCAGCGCTCACATGACTCTTGCATCATTTTGCATATATAAGCTCACTTTCTCATTATAATAAACTAGAAGTGTTCATAGACTGAACTTGTGTGTCATCGTGAGCGTCTTCCAGTGTGCGCACATTCCAAAGCTTGCTAGAATGATTAATTTGGACAGGAGCAGATAATCACCGGACATTTTAGTCCTTATCTAATTCAATACCACAGCTGAAAACTGGAACAAGTTAGTCTCTCACCAGGGCTGCAACATGCACGCGTATGGTTTGATCATCTGCTAAGCCGTTGGAAAACGGGCGGGACTCCTTGGTGAAAGGCATCTATAGCGAAATTTCTTGTTCCATTTTTCCAATTTTGTTACATTTGTTGTCTCTGTCTGTCATTACTTAAATAAATGTTATATATATGTAGCTCCCTCCTAGGTAGGATTCTGGGTTGAATAAATGTTGTTTTTTTTGGCTCAACTGTATTCAGCAAAGCAGTGTGTGATTACTTTGGGCTGTTCTAGACTTCACTGGTTTCAGGTTTGATTGTTTCTCCCTGTCTTCTGAAGGATTCTAAAATGTAGTCGGCTGGAAAGGTGGATCAGCAGCCTGAGAATTTCTGTAGTCAATCCCTGGGGGAGGGGGTGCTCAGTAGGTGGCTGGGGGTACATAAATAGTCGAGCGTCTGTTCTCATTGAGATCCTTGCTATGCTAGACCTGGGGGGGGGGGGGGGCTGACAATTTCAGGAACTAATTAAAAGAATTTCCCAGAGGATGTGGTCTAGAGAGTTCACAGGAGAAATATCTGTCTGATGTTGGAAGGAGGCCTCCAGAAGTATCCAGAGACATGTGAGTACATACCTGTGTGTAGGATCCTAGTGGCTGTTTGCTACACTGCCCCTTGTTCCAGTGGTGTATTTAGGTTTTGTGCTGCTCTAGGCAACACAAAAATCATCTGCCCCCACAGTCACAGACCAACACAACCCCCCCTTCCCCCTTCTGCGGAGAGAGCCTGACATTGATCAACAACACTCCTGCCCCCAACCCAGGAGAGCCTTCCAATACCCCCCCCCTTCCCCCCCCGGCGGCAGAGAGACATTCATTTTCACACTCTGGGCATCCCCAGAAACAAGAGCCAGGCTCTACATACACCATCAAGCAGCCCACAGCCTCTCTCAGATCACGCTTGGTTCCCATGGTGCGAATGTCCCTTCTTTCATTCCTTCTTCTTGGGAGAGGTGCTGCCCCCCTAAAAAATGCCGCCTTAGGCAAGTGCCTTGTTTGCCTTGTGGTAAATACACCCCTGCCTTGTGCCAGAGCTTGTTTGGACTGGGACATTTCTTATGGTGTCTTAGTATTCCCTTAGCTGCTGTTAGAGGGACGGTGCTCAGAAGGTTTGACAAAGTGAAGAGAGTCCTCATACTGCTGTACAGTGTTGCTGGAGTATCCCACAGCTCCCCGCACCCTATCCAAGTTCAATTAGCAAAAAAAGGCATCCAAAAAAGACACCTCAAGGCAGTTCATTGAGCCAGAAGGTGTGACTGCTGCTGTGTTCCTGGCTGCCGCTACACTAACTTATGAGAAGAGCCTGGGACAAATCCAAGGCCGGAATAATGCAGAGGCTATTGGAGATGAAGCTCCAGGCTCCTACCTTAATATAGGCCCAGCTGCCAAAAAAGAACAGGCCGCACATGGAAAGCAATGGGCCAATGAGGAAAGATCTCACCTGACCAGCCCTGCATTCCACACTCACCGCCTGAGACTAGCAATGGTGTTAATAACGGGTGCCAGGCAGGCAGTCCTAACTAGACATGTGCAGAACGAAAAAATGGGTTTTGTTCCATTCGTTATTTAAATAATTTCATTTTGTTAAATTCAGTTAATTCAGTTTAACTTTTATTCATTTTGTTTTGTTTTCTAATTTGATTAAATTCTATTTAAAGTGTTACTAAACCCTGGACCCTGCATTCACTATATCTGGTCTCCCCGGACCCTACATTTACTATATCCGCTCTCCCCGGGACCCTGCATTCACTATATCCGGTCTCCCCAGACCCTGCATTCACTATATCCGCTCTCCCCAGACCCTGCATTCACTATATCCGCTCTCCCCGGACCCTGCATTCACTATATCCTCTCTCCCTGGACCCTGCATTCACTATATCTAGTCTCCGTGGACCCTGCATTCACTATATCCGCTCTCCCTAGACCCCGCATTCACTATATCTGCTCTCCCCGGACCCCTCATTCACTATATCTACTCTCCCCGGACCCTGCATTCACTATATCTGGTCTCCCTGGACCCCGCATTCACTATATCCACTCTCCCCGAACCTTGCGTTCGGTATATCTGGTCTCCCCGGACCCTGCATTCACTATATCCACTCTCCCCGGACCCTGCATTCACTATATCCGCTCTCCCTGGACCCTGCATTCACTATATCCGCTCTCCCCAGACCCTGCATTCACTATATCTGCTCTCCCCGACCCTGCATTCACTATATCTGCTCTCCCCGGACCCTGCATTCACTATATCCTCTCTCCCTGGACCCTGCATTCACTATATCTAGTCTCCGTGGACCCTGCATTCACTATATCCGCTCTCCCTAGACCCCGCATTCACTATATCTGCTCTCCCCGGACCCTGCATTCACTATATCTGGTCTCCCTGGACCCCGCATTCACTATATCCACTCTCCCCGAACCTTGCGTTCGGTATATCTGGTCTCCCCGGACCCTACATTCACTATATCCACTCTCCCCGGACCCTGCATTCACTATATCCACTCTCCCCGGACCCCGCATTCACTATATCCACTCTCCCCGAACCTTGCGTTTCTGTATATTTGGTCTCCCCGACCCTGCATTCACTATATCCACTCTCCCCGGACCCTGCATTCACTATATCCGCTCTCCCTGGACCCTGCATTCACTATATCCGCTCTCCCCAGACCCTGCATTCACTATATCCGCTCTCCCCGGACCCTGCATTCACTATATCTGCTCTCCCCGGACCCTGCATTCACTATATCTGCTCGCCCCGGACCCTGCATTCACTATATCCACTCTCCCCGGACCCTGCATTCACTATATCCGCTCTCCCCGGACCCTGCATTCACTATATCTGGTCTCCTTAGACCCTGCATTCACTATATCCGCTCTCCCCAGACCCCGCATTCAATATATCCGCTCTCCCCAGACCCCGCATTCACTATATCCGCTCTCCCCTGGACCCTGCATTCACTATATCCACTCTCCCCGGACCCTGCATTCACTATATCCGCTCTCCCTGGACCCTGCATTCACTATATCCGCTCTCCCCAGACCCTGCATTCACTATATCTGCTCTCCCCGGACCCTGCATTCACTATATCCGCTCTCCCTGGACCCTGCATTCACTATATCTAGTCTCCGTGGACCCTGCATTCACTATATCCGCTCTCCCTAGACCCCGCATTCACTATATCTGCTCTCCCCGGACCCTGCATTCACTATATCTGGTCTCCCTGGACCCCGCATTCACTATATCCACTCTCCCCGAACCTTGCGTTCGGTATATCTGGTCTCCCCGGACCCTGCATTCACTATATCCACTCTCCCCGGACCCCGCATTCACTATATCCACTCTCCCGAACCTTGCGTTCTGTATATCTGGTCTCCCCGGACCCTGCATTCACTATATCCACTCTCCCCGGACCCTGCATTCAATATATCCGCTCTCCCTGGACCCTGCATTCACTATATCCGCTCTCCCCAGACCCTGCATTCACTATATCTGCTCTCCCCGGACCCTGCATTCACTATATCTGCTCTCCCCGGACCCTGCATTCACTATATCCGCTCTCCCCGGACCCTGCATTCACTATATCCGCTCTCCCCGGACCCTGCATTCACTATATCCGCTCTCCCCGGACCCTGCATTCACTATATCTGGTCTCCTTAGACCCTGCATTCACTATATCCGCTCTCCCCAGACCCCGCATTCAATATATCCGCTCTCCCCAGACCCCGCATTCACTATATATCCGCTCTCCCCTGGACCCTGCATTCACTATATCTGCTCTCCCCGGACCCTGCATTCACTATATCCACTCTCCCCAGACCATGCATTCACTATATCCGCTCTCCCAGGACCCTGCATTCACTATATCTGGTCTCCCCGGACCCTGCATTCATTTTATCCGCTCTCCCTGGACCCTGCATTCACCATATCCGCTCTTGAATTTTGAATTTGATATATTTCAAATTCAGATATTGGAAGATAGTTATATTCTATTTTGTTCTATTGAGTTTTCCATTCTATTTCCTATTCTTCTATTCTATTCTATTCTAAACTATTCAAATTCAAATTTATTCTATTCGAAATGTGAATTTCGGAAGGTAGTTATATTCTATTCTATCATTTTTTTTCTATTCTATTCTACTCTTTTCTATTTTATTTCATTCTTTTCTACTCTCTTCAAATTCAAATTGATTCTATTCAGAATTAGAATTTTGAAAGACAGTTATATTCTTTATATTTTATTCTATTCTATTGTTTTTTCTATTATTTTCTATTTTATTCTTTTCTTTTCTATTCTTTTCCACTGTACTCCACAGTCATGGCCAAAAATATTGCCCCCCCCCCTATATTTCTGTCAGATAATGCACCACTTCACCCAGAAAATTGTTGCAATTATATGTGTTACAAATGTTCTGGCATTCTCATGTTTATTTCTTTGGTTTGTATTGGTATGACACAAAAAAGTGGAGAAACAAGCAGAGGCTATTGAGAACATTGCTGGATTGGAGGGGGCTCAGGAAAGGATTGGGGGGGGGGGGGGCTGCTCCAATCAGAAAGTTTTTACTTTCATGCATGAAGGTTAAAAATCTTTGAGACTTAGAACCACTTTAACCACATCCTGACCGCGCTAAAGCCGAATGACGGCTACAGCGCAGTTGTCCAGTTCTGGGAGGGCGTCATACGATGTCCTCCCAGAATGCGCTCAGAACGCGCCCCCAGCACCGTGCAGCTGGCGCTCTCCGTGATTGCTGTGTCCCGTGGACACAGCTGATCACATGATGAGGTAAAAGGCCAATCACAGCAACCTTTTACCACGTGATTAGCTGTGTCCAATGACACACATGATCACAATGTAAATACAGTTGCCGGTATCGGCAGCAGGGATGGACTGACCATTCGAGCACTCGGGCACTGCCCAAGGGCCCGGGGTCAATAGGGGGGCCCCATGAAATGCCCCTGGTACCTTTTATAGGCTTTTTTTAAGTGTGGGTAAGGACACAGGGGCCCCATGATCCCCTATTGCCCGGGGGCCCCATGAGTTGTCAGTCCGCCCCTGATCAGCAGCACGCTGTCACAGCATGAGGAAAGTACTACCGATAACCAGAGGCTGTCACAGAGCAGATCGGCACTGATGATCAGTGCCCTGCAGTGCCGCCTAGCAGTGCCAGCCACCAGTGCCCAGCAGGGCCACCCATCAGTGCCACCCAGCAGTTACACCCAGCAGGGCTGGCAGTCAGTGCTGGCAGTCAGTGCTGTCAGTCAGTGCCATCAGTTAGTGCCACCTGTCAGTGTTGCCCATCAGTGCTGCCTATCAGTGCCCATCTGTGCTGTCATCCATGCCACCTCATCAGTGCCCATCAGTGCTGCCTATCCATGCCATCTCATCAGTGCCTATCAGTGCTGCCTATTCGTGCCACTTCATCAGTGCTCATCAGTGCTGCCTATCAGTGTAGCCTCATCAACGCATATCAGTGAAGGAGAAAAATTACCTGTTTGCAAAATTTCATTATAGAAGCAAAAAAAAAAAAAACCCTTTTTTTAAATTTATTTATTTTTTTGTTTACAGCGAAAAAATAAAACACCCAGCAGCGATTAAATACCACCAAAAGAAAGCTCTATTTGTGTGAAAAAAATGATAAAAAATTTCATATGGGTACAGTGTTGCATGACTGCGCAATTGTCATTCAAATTACGACAGCGCTGAAAGCTGAAAATTGGCCTGGGCAGGAAGGGGGTGCCCGGTAGGCAAGTGGTTAAATGGATAAGAATGCATCCAGGGGCGGACTGACCATTCAAGAACTCGGCACTGCCCGAGGGCCCCGGGGTCAGTAGGGGGCCCCATGAAATGCCCCTGGTACCTTTTATAGGCTTTTTTGGGTATGCTTTAAGTGTGGGCAAGGACACAGGGGCCCCATGTTCCCCTATTGCCCGGGGGCCCCATGAGTTGTCAGTCCGCCCTTGAATGCATCACAACCACACCGAAAAGGCTTGGCTTGCAGCAGCGGCACAGTGCTACAATGAAATTTCCCTGTTCAGCAGTCAAAAATAGAGAAATATCGCCTCCTGAATGCCTGCAAAACTCCATTCACTGTCCTCTAAAAAGCGATTTACCATAGATCGCTTTTCAGAGGAGCGGTAAGCACTGCTGCTAGTAGGAGCCTCAGCCTGCTTAGACGCTACAACAACTGTTCAAGCACCCCCCAGCAGTGCTACATACAAGTAGTTTGTCCCAATCCCAGCAAAAGTCACGTCTGCTGGACAGCTTGGCCTTCGTGGTTTGAAAAATGTCAATAAAGCCATGTGAAATGAAACAAGAAATTCTTGTGCTGAATACTGTCATTATGTATAATTATTGTATACATTTTCCAGAACATAATATTCTTTCTGTACAATAAATGTTGTATTGTTCCTGGTATACTTTAAGTTCTGCGCATTTTTTTTTTCCGGTGCTCCTTTTTTCTGCATGTTACGCATTATACCCGTAACCTTTTTTATTTAATTTTTTCATTTTGTTTTCTTCTTTGTATTTTTTTTTTGTTTGTCCTGCAAGGCAGCGGTATTAACACGGCGCCATTGTGGTATAAATAGCCCCAGAAGAGGGCCCCGGGAAAGCAAAATACTTTTATCTCGCGGTGTTACTTAGAAAATCAAAGCCGTCGCAATTTTCTCATAAACATCAAAAAGTTGGGGATCTGGAGAAATGCATCAAAATATAATTTGCTAGAAAATTGCTGAAAAATAGCTTCCGTTTCCATACGCCTTAAAAGAATTAGATTGAAAATCAAGTTAAAAAAAAAAAGATATTGATGTCATTAAAAGAACATAATCACCAGCAAATAATACAGTTCCCCAAACAGTTGAACAAACAGAGATCTCATGAAGAATTATGAACAATGAGCGGCGAAGAATAATTATACGCCGAGTCACGGCGCTCAGAACGGGGGGGGGGGGGGGGGGGGGGGGGGGGGGGGGGGAGGGAGGGGAGGGGGGGGGGGGCGGACGAGGAGAAAAGATCAATTAATTCTTTTCAGCCATCTCCACCATTCCACATCTATAGACGGCGATATCGGGAAAGCAATGTTTCCAGGCTGGTAATAAATTGCTTCTGTAATTATGTAACAACAAAACAAACAAAACAAAAAGATCGGGGATGAGAAAGTGCTCCAAATTACGCAACATTTAGTATTTCACTTAACCGTTCAACAGTAAGCTGAGCATATGTGGAATCCAGTTAGAGCTTTTTTAGATTTCCTCTACATTTTTACCACCCTTTTTCTTCCCAACCCCCACCCCCCAAAGCCAAATTTCCCTCAAAAAGTGAAGTACTGCTGGCTCATGCATGCACTGCTCAGTGTACATTCTCAGTGTCGGGATAGATGAGCTTTCATGCACATGCGCACCTCAGTGTGCATTCTCGGTGTCGGGATGAATGAACTCCCGTGAGCATACGCAGCTCAGTGTATATTCTGAGTGTCAGAATGAATGAACATCCATGTGCAGCTCAGTGTACATTCTCAGTGTCAGGATGAATGAACATCCATGTGCAGCTCAGTGTACATTCTCAGTGTAAGAATGAATGAACTCCCGTGAGCATACGCAGCTCAGTGTACATTTTCAGTGTCAGGATGAATGAACTCCCATGCGCATGCACACCTCAGTGCACATTCTCGGTGTTAGGATAAATGATCTTCCATGTGCAGCTCAGTGTACATTCTCAGTGTTGGGATGAATGAACTCCCATGTGCATACGAAGGTCAACGTACATTCAGGACGAATGAACTCCCATGCACAACTCAGTGTACATTCTCAGTATCAGGATAAATGAATTCCCATGCACATGGACAGCTTAGTGTAGATTCTCAGTGTCGGGGTGAATGAACTCCCATGCGCATGGACAGCTCAGTGGAAATTCTCGGTGTCAGGATGAATGAACTCCCATGTACATAAGCAGCTCATTGAACATTCTCGGTGTCGGGATGAATGAACTCCCATGTACATAAGCCACTCAGTGTACATTCTCAGTGTCAGAATGAATAAACTCCCATGTACATAAGCAGCTCAGTGTACATTCTCAGAACTGCAGCTCCGTCGGGGGATGAATGAACTCCCATGTACATAAGCAGCTCCGTGTACATTCTCAGTGTCGGGATGAATGAACTCCCATGTACATAAGCAGCTCAGTGTACATGCTTGGTGTCGGGATGAATGAACTCCCATGTACATAAGCAGCTCAGTGTACATTCTCGGTGTCGGGA